TGTAAAAATAAATAAATAAATAAATAAAATAAAAACCATTAAAAAAAAAAGAGCCAGGCTCATACTATTAATTATACACACATTATAAATATCTGAAATGTTGTAAATATATGTGAAAAAGTTTCTGTAGCCATCTTGAAATTAGTGGCAGCCATAAAGCTTCTGGGTTCCATCTCATACAAAAATAAGTCTATTTTCTATTTGCTTATTTCTTTGTTTAAATAAAACATTGAATTTTATTGCAGTAATACAGGAAAGTGAGCAGGAAGAAGGGATGATATACAAGTCATGCTAGAAATGCAAGATATTTTGGAAGTAGTGATTTCACTGCTTGTTGGCTGATTCAGAGGAGCCAGTAGAGTACAGGTGAATCTATAAAGACATGGTTCATATAAACCAAAACCTAGGGAAAGTAATCATGTGAGGAAGTACCTTCCTCCCTTAATTGCTGAGGAAGTCATTGCTTTTTATGAGGATACTTTTACAGGACTTAGGTTTCTTGGATAAAAACTATTATAATAAATCCTCTTCAGTTCAGGATAAGGGATTGACCATATCTCAAGCTTAACATTTAATAATAAAATATTTAAAATTTTTATTTACTTAGAAATTCAGTCTTATTACTGAGTAATAGAATTCTTAAGTGGGTACTAACAATTGAAAGAGATCGTTAAAGAAAAATCACCATTCGTAGTATGAATGCAACAATGTTATCAACATTAAAGCACCAAGTAATATCCTTTATTACAGACTTTTTGCTCAATACAAATTATACTTTATCCCAGGTATTGAAACCCTAATTAACAATATTTGGTTGTACATATATGAGCTCTCTCGATAACAATACTGTGTTTACTTTGAATGTTTAGAATAATATTTGCTACACTACTAAGCACAATTTTGAGGAAAATTTTAAAATATAATGATTAATCATTTAAATATGTAACCTTTATTTGTATTCATTTTAGTTCATGATTGAAATAAAGAATTTTGCTGTATCTTGTATACCAACTGATTGGGTTAAGGTTGGAAGGTAAGTTTAAAAATACATTTTATATATATATATGTATGTATGTATTTTAATTTTGTATAACCTTTTTCTTTCTTTTTTTTTGTTGTGGGAGGAACGTAATTAGGTTTATCCATTTATTTATTTTTATAGGAGGTACTGGGGATTGAACCCAGGACCTCGTGCACGTTAAGCATGTGCTCTACCACTTGGGCTGTACCCTCCCCGCCTTAAAAATACATTGTAGATACTAACTACTATGTATAAAATAGATAAACAACGAGATCCTACTGTATAGCACAGGGAACTGTATTCAATATCTTATAATGGCCTAAAAATGAAAAAGAATATGAAAATACGTATAAACGAATCACTGTGCTGTACACCAGAAATTAACACAACATTGTAAATCAGCTATACTTCAATTAAAAAAAAATTCCCACAAAAAATACATTTTTTTTTTTATTAACATGAACTATAAAGACATCTGTGTACCTGCATGCTTCTGGACTGATAATAACCACATCCTTGACATGAAAAGCAGTTTTCTCATGGAACTTTTATCCAGAGAAATAATAATCTTAAACCCTTTTTACCATTGATTTTAAAACATTTGTCCAAAGGATATCTTATTTGTATACATTTGTTTTCTTGTTTTGTAAATTACTGTTTTATTCTGAAACCTCAGAGGACACTTTTAACACATGGAGGGGAAAACTTGCAGAATCTTCAACTATAAGATTAATTTGGTTGTTTGAACTTCTTGATGAATGCTATACCTGACATTTCTTTTAAGAAGCTGACATTTCATTTTCTGCCTCACTGAGCTCTGCGTTTCTTTTTTCTTAATGTTTTCCATGGCACTAGCTCTAGTAGTTCTTTACATGTCCTTTTTGTAAGTCATATCATGAATCAAAACCAAAATTAGAGACCCACATTGAGACTTTGCCTTTTCTCCTTGGTTAAGCATTGATTCTCAAGAAGGGCCTCATTTAAAAAAGTAGTTTTAGAGAAGTATATTTTCTTTTGTGAGTGGCAAATATTGTGAAATATTTATTATTCCTGTTAATATGTTTGCATGAACTTGAGATGAAAATGTTACATTTGCCTAAGATAACAGAAGAGAGACTAGTAGCTGGTGATGGTATCAAGGAACTCTGTGTTAAGAATGGAAGAAAATTTTGACATGATACACGAATGTTGTTAGTTATTTTAATTAAAAAAGAAAACTATTTATTATCCATGGCCACTATTAAAGGATCCTGAAAGCATAATCACGGATTCCTTAAGCTCTAATACTATCCTTTTCCCCCCTCTGTGTTAGCAGAGCGGTAATTGAGTTCTAGGTATTGATTATAGGGGATGTTTTCTCCTTTTGCAGTCATTCTTTATTTATTTTTGTCCTATACTTCAGCTAACGAATGGTAATATGCTTTGTGAAGAGAAATTATAAGAAATCATGTTAGTCTATCAAGAACAGTCACTGAAATGTCTCACTAAATACGTTTTGTCAGAAGAGAAAGCTATGATGAATATGTTTGCATAGAAATCTAGATGACATACTTTAAAAGCAATAAGCAAGACATAAATCAGTGCCAGTGTCTTTTGAACAATTCAGTGATGTAAACTGAATGAATAAATAAGATGGTTTGGGGGAAGGTTCATTTTGATTTTTTTATCTGTTGTTTAGCCATCAGAGCCTTGACAGGGATAGGTTTAGCATATCATTAGTCAATTTTGTATGTGAAAGGCTCACTCCTAATCCAGTGATATGTGTAATCCAGTAACTCGCGAAATTAAAGATAATTGTGACGGCACATTACAGGAGTTGGGGTGCAAACAAAGATCAGAGTGCACTCTGTCATCACCTGCCTATCACTCAGCTTTGACCTTTTCTTCTTAAAGGTCTCATCTTAGTAATAACATCAACAGTAATAACCACCACCACCACCGTGGAACAACTCCCAACACTGAGCACTGATAACGTAGATACTCTGCTAAGCACTGTCTGATTCATCCTCTCATCAGTACCTATGAGGTAGATAAAATTATTATCCCCTTTGATAGAAGAGGAGAGTGATGTTTAGAGGTCAGTTACATCGGCCCAAAGTCACATAGCTGGCATGTAAGTGGCAGAGTTGGAACCTTGGTCTGGACTCTGACTGGGGACCTATTGAATCCGCCATTGGGCCCTACAGAGATTGTATGCATGCCCAGAAGAGGAACACATGGTATTTCTTCCCATCTAGGGTCATGTGAATCTACAGTTAGATCATGAAGAGTTAGATCCTCTTCTTTGACTGCCTCCTGAATTATTACATTGCTGTTCCTTGTAATGCTTTTCTGTTTCCCCACTGAAATAATCTAATCATACAGAAAAGTGCAAATTATAAACAGTAATATAACTTTCACCAATGTATCCAACTCCTAGCTTTGTCAGGATTTATTTTGCCATATTTACTTCTGATCTTTTTTTTTAAAGCAAGCATTTTCATTTAGTGTAATTTAAAGGAAAAAGCTCTTTGCTTATGAAATAGAAATTCTAAACTTTGGTTTTGCCATATGGATATAATTTGAATTTTAAAAGCTTCCCAAACATAATCTGGTGATCTTGATCTCCATGTACTTTACTTACAACAAAGATCTTTGGAATCAATAAGGTTCAGGATCATACTTAAAGAATGTTCTCTATTTAGAGCTATTTACTTTAAAGGTTCGTCAGAATAATAAATAACTTCTTTAGTTTTCTGAAGTGATGGCATTACTGATTTCTTAGTAACCTTGATTTCTTGTTTCTGTTTTTTCCCCTCTTCTAGCACAAAAGCTGTGAGCCGCTTTCATTCTCCTTTTATTGTAGAAAATTACAGACATCTGAATCAACTTCGGGAGCAGCTAGTCCTTGACTGCAATGCTGAATGGCTTGATTTTCTAGAGTGAGTTTACAATGAAAAATATAATCTGATTTTTTGCTGTGAGAAATAGACCGGAAAATCTTTCCATCAAAAAGAAAAGTAGATATTACTGCTTGTGACTGCCATCAAATAGTTGAGTACATGTGTTCTCTGATTTAATTTTTAATCCATTGAAATGTAAGCTCATCTTGATCTCTGTTGAGGGACCAGATATACTTTATTGTAACTGTACTAACATTTTGGTGCTAAGGATGTCTAGTGGCATCACTTGGAAGTTCCACCTTGGACTTTGTTTAGCTTTCTTATATAAAGGCTTGATAATATCAGAGTTAGACAAGTTACTCGTTTTTCTTTTTTTAAATAATCTCCATTTAATTTTTTTCTTATATTTTACATCCTTTGTTTTCCTCCTAACTTTTTAATTTGAAAAATTTTAAGTGTGTAGGAAAGTTGCAATGAAGATCTGTATACCCTGCACCTAGCTTTGTCAGATGTTAATATTTGCCACATTTGTTTTATCTCTCTCTCATACACTTTCTATTCTGAACCATTTTAAAGTAAGCTTTGGACATTATAACTCTTCACCCCTAAATACTTAAGCATACATCTTCTAAAAGTAAGGACATTTTGCTGTATAATCTTACCACCATTATCATACCTAAGAAAAATTAATGTTAATGTAAGAAATGATGAATTTCCTCTTTCCCCATATTTAAAAAATTCTTTACATGTTGTATTTGGTTATTAAGGTTTTTTTTTAGTGTATTTGAATCTAGAATAGTCCCCCACTTTTTTTATTTTTTCTATTACGAGATTTTTTTTTCCAGCGGGTCCTTGACGTTGTCTCAAAGGCTATTTCATTCTGGATTAATTTAGTCATGTGTTCACATTAACAGGTTTAAGTCTGTGGTGTGCTGGTAAATGGTTAACAGCCAGCTCTCTGGAAGAGTAGTAGCAATTGTTTGATTTCTGTAGTGTAACTACTCCCACTAGTACTGATTGCAAGCTCCTGCTGGACTGGATTTGGAAGAGATGTGCACAGTTGACTTTCATGAGTCCGTAGGAGCCAACTCCAGACCACCACTCATCTAAGCACTTTATATATGTATACATTAGCTCATTATTCCTCACAGTGGTCTGTGAGGAATAATTTACAAATGAGTAAGAGTGAGATGCAGAAATAAGAAATTGCGCACAACAGGGGTAAGGATTGGAGCCCAGATGTGTCTGGTGGTAGGGTGTGTGCCCCTGGCCATCCAGCTGCAGAGCTGGCCCTGTTAGACTTTCTCTTTAAAAACTTAGACAATACATATTTAGTGACATATTTAGGGAGCTTTATCCCATTTAAAGTAACCAATCTGACAAGTAAAAATAAAGAAACAAAAAAGATAACATGTGGCAGTTTTTAAAAGGTAGTCATTTGGTACCATCTCTTTTTGCCCAGAGGAGTTTCAAATTATAGGTTCAGAAAGGGATTCCAATTTACTTATCCTGAATCTTTTGAAGTAATCTGGAGTCAGAGTCTTGAATCTAGGGATGGAAATTTGGTCTGTTCAGTTCCTTTTCCGATTCACTTTCAGTTTCCCATCTTTAGGGTTTTCATGGTCCTTGAGTCTCTGTTTCTCAGACTTTTCCATTAGTAATATCACTGAGAACATGAGAATTGGACTAAAATTTCTCCTTTCAAGCTTCAAGGGGCCACATTCTAGGGTCTTGGGGTTCAGTGGGGTTGTACCTATTACTCTCTACACTATATAGTGTACCTGAATTTATAGTCCTGGGTGGTTTTCTCCCTGTCATTATTCTGGAATAAAGAAATTTCAGGTCTCCTAGGCTAAAAATATTGGCATTATCCTTGATTCTTTCTTCCTCTTTGTCCCTTTATATGTTATCAAACTCCTGTTTGTTTTCTCTCTGACAAGTCTCTTTGATTTGCCCCCTTTTCTCCTGTGCTCTCTCGCATCCCACCATTACCTCACGCTGTTCTCACTGGCAGCCCTCTGCCTGGGCTTCTCTCAGATTAACCCAGGAGAGCTCTGCTTTCATCATACCCTGCCTTTGCTGTAGTTGGGAGTTGCTAAGAATGAGCTAACGTTAAATAAAACATCACAGAAGAGTATGGTAGTCACGACATATTGCTAAACGAAAAACAGGATGGAAAGTGTGATGCAGTTCTGTATGTGTAAATTCACATACATGCACAGCATACAAATCTTTGTATTTTAAGAGATTAAATATATATGCTATTATTTTTAACATACTTATTGGCCATTTGTATATCTTTGGAGAAATGTGTATGTGTGTTTATGTAAATACATATATATATGATCTTAAATACTAACTGATTAATCTGGATGATGAGGTTGCTGGAGATTTAACTTGCTTTGCAAATATTTGATAGCAAAAGTTTCTGTAATGTACATATATTACTTTCAAAAATAAGAAAAATATATTAAAATTTTTATCTAAAAAAAGACTATTGGCTGAAATTTAACTATAGCATTTGCAGCAAGAGTCTCAACTTGAGAACAGCATTGTTAGGCACAGTATTTTTTGAGGTGCCAGATGGTGTGAATGTAATGTCATTTCAAAAATGATTAACCTCAATGAACTTAGCATGAGAGGATTGAATACCATCTATACAAGTGTGTTTGTCTCTTACTGAGACACTAACAGTTGTGCATTAGTCACATTACTTTCAATCAAAATATTGCAAGAAGTCAAACTGTAAGAAAGTATGTGAATGGAACCCTCTCTCAAAATAGGTGTTTCTTCTTTTGTGTTCTAGAAGGTGGGCTATGGATATTGAGTTATCTCAATTGCAAATTCTTTAAAAATTGAATTATAATACCTTTCATATAGCAGTGCAAGTATTTTAGAAATGCATTTTTAAATATAACATTAAATTGTCTCCTTTTTTATTAACTTCAGGTGTCACTGAGCAACACCTGCTGGTAAACTGTCGTTACAGCTTTAGAACCACGTGTCTTAATAGACTTCCCATGGACCCACCAATATCTTTTGACCAGAGACCAAATCGTAGTTCTTATGTGAAGTTGTTTGGTGGCTTAGTAATAAAGTTGCATGTTGTTATGACATAAACCCAGCCTATCAGAATGTTATCTGAATTGCCCATTTTTCAGCTTGTCATTTTTCTAAGTATGGATGATCTCTTTGAAATTGGGCAAAGTATAGCAAATAGACAAAGACCAAGAAGTCAAACAAGTCTTCATAGGAGTTGTGATGGTGATGTATAAAGTGTATGAGAGCTTTAAATTTTTATTCACATGCCTTATTTATATCATTGATATGAGAAAGAACATGGTTGTCCACATCAAAATAATTTCCTTACCTCTCCCTGCCTCTTTTGTCGTTGTGAAACTGAAATGGTACTCACTGAGAGTAATGTCACTTATTTCAGTCTGGAAGTTAGAAGATCATCAGGGACAGTTACCCTCAACGTAAGGGTGCTGGGTGGTGGCAAATTAGGGTCTTAGCAGCCTGAACAGGACCTGAGAAGGAGGGGTGAAAGTAAGAAATTAAGTGCTTTAACACTCAGACCCAGAGAGGCAAGAGTACAAACATCAACTGTGGCTATTCTCTGGCAAAAGAGAGAGTGTTAGGATAAGAAGACCAAATGGGTCAGAATTAGAATAGGAGCAAAACTGGCCACAGTCCAAGGGGTAAATGAGTGGTCCTATCTAAAATCAAAGCCAGACCAGGAATGACAAGGCCTGATCACTGGGCAGCCACTCAGTAGTGTTAGGTCTCTGCAGCACGTGGCTTCTTCAAAACTGAGTCATTTTTAAGGTGGAAACTGAGTGCTCCTGTCTGATGCAGGGTACAGTCTCCTCTGTGTTTGGGATTTTGCACAGACTCTTGACACTGTTAGTAGGATTCATGTTGTTTGTTTTGACGAACTTTAGTTCAGGGAAAAATGGGTAAATTGTGTTCATTATACTCTATTCAGACATGGAAGTTTAAAATATGCTGTAAATATATTTTTCAGTTCACATGTAGTTAACACAGAAATAAAATTGGATATTTAAAATGTTGTTTCTACAATCTCAAAAAGTCACTTACGTGGACTATCTTATTCTAATATTAATAAAAAAGCAGAAATTATAGGTTCTTGAAAAATCAATACAGTGGTAAAATAGAAATAACTAATCCCATAGGAGCTTAATCAGGATAGCCTTTTCAAGCTGGAAGCACTCTAAAAAACTTCGGCTTTAAGAAAAGCAAATCGGCTAAATCTCAAAGTTTCTGAAACCAGCAGTACAAAATATCTTTAAGAGAAACATTCAGCATAATACTCATGCTGGGGAGATCTTTAACAGGATGTAAGTGATACCTGTGATAAGAGATAATGGGATAGACTAAGCAAAAAAAAAGGAAACACTTGCATACATTCCTATATTTCTTCTGAATAAGTCTTTCAACAAAAGTCTTCTAAGCTTTTAGATCACCAGCTACCTAATTAGATAAAGATTTGAGGCAATGACATGTCTTTTTTTAAAAGATGTCTTAGATTTAATTTCTGTATGAGTTATTAATAAGATAACTGAAGATCACTGGAAAAACGTACTTTTCTTCTTGCTTGCCTTCAACACAATTTATTACAATGTCAACCCTGTGCCAAGGTTATGGGCTAGATGTTGGGGCTACACCGATAGGTAAACCAGATAGACGTGGGATCTACCATGGAGAAGCTTCCAGTCAGTGTGAGAGAGAGATGCTGAAACTGTTATTCCCAGTTTGAATGATGCTGTGGAGAAGCACAAAGGGAAGTGACCCATCTGGGTAGTTCATGATGTTATTTAAACTAAATTTGTGTTAATTAGCTCTGAGTTTGAAATGTCATGGTTACATGAAATGTGCAATAAGGTATTAATAGTAGACATCTTTGTATAGAAACTATTTTAAATATATATAACTCTTTCCAAGTGAAACAAACAAAAGCCTCAGTAATCCAATTATTAAACAGAAAAGTAGTTCAGTGTAATTTCCACCTTTCCTAACTATGAGGTATGCCTGGTTATTTTGTTTATGCTCATCTTAGCTAACAAAGTGATTACTTATTGTACAGCTCTTACAGGTCTGAGAAATCAGTTTGCTAACCTTTTCATCATCATTGCTTCTGTAGGAATTTCAATAAACATTATCAGTGCTTGTGTAAAGCAGTACATCACCTAGCAACTATTGACTGCATTTTCTCCCTGGCCAAGGTCACCAAGCAAGGAGATTACTGCAGGTAATATATTTTTTAAAATTTCTCCCATTTCTCAATGCTTTAGATCAGATGGCATTATTCAATTAATTTTAGTGTTTTTATTACAGAGTATTAAAATTACTCAAATGTGTTGGACTCTTGGTAAAGCTGAATGTCATACACATATAGCTTGATTTAAAATTAACAAATTCCTTTCTTGCTCTATTATTGAGAACCCTGAAAGCAGATATTCACTATGACTAGAAAGGTGAATGTTATATATTTCAATTTTTTGGTTTATATGGGTGACATTTTTATAAAGCTCCCTCAGGCTGGAATTTTGCGCTGGTAGCTCTCTGTGGCTCCTGTGGGCATTGCCTCTCTGGTGTCTCTTTTGTAAGTAAGAATACTAGCCTATTCATGAGGGCTCTGCCCTTAGGACCTAATCACCTCCTTAGGACATAACACTAGCCTGGTTATTTAACAACTGACCTTAAACAAGTTTCATAATCTCTCTGATCTTCAGTTTCTGCATTGACAAAATAATACCTACCTCTTAAAGATGATGTGCAAATTAAATGAGATTAAAACATTATGAAATGTCTAAGCAGGACTAGGCAGATGATACACACTTAATAAATAGCAATTATTACTCACAGATATTTATTAAAAAATCAGAAAGATTTAGTATGGTAAAAGTCTTTCTCTTTAATAAGAGTATCTGAACTTAAGGATTGTTAGTATCTTTCATACCTATAATAATTTATTTTTTAATCATTTTTTATTTTTCATCAATTTGCAATCTCATCTGTCTCTTTGAACATGATAATAAGCATAGTTATCTTAAAGTCTGGTCTGATGATTCATATATCTGTAGTCTCTTGTTTCTGCTCATTTTCATTCATGTATCTCCTTGAATGCCTGGTTATTTTGATTATCTTCTGGGCATTGTATTTGCAAAATCATTTGTAGAAATAATTTGATATTATATTCCTTCTGAAAGAGTCACATCACAAGACACCTGTAGCATTTTGGCATCATTTACTGCCTATCAGGGCTTGAGATGATTCAGAGATTCGAAGTTCTTACTTTAGATGCACTCTTATGCCTGGTGTGCAGCCCCTTGGTATCTCAGTACAGATTAAAGCTGTTTATATGGCTCAGCATCAGCTATTCCCTCAGAAATCAGCAAATACCCTCCCTGGCCCTCTGCTCTACCCAAGATCCTAGCCTGGTAATTCCCTGCTGTCTTGTTAGCTACCAGGTGCCTTCAAGTAGCTGTTTTCTATACTTCATCCAACTTTTTCTTTGTCCTCAGTAAGCTTATTCCAAACTACCCATTCTATCAGTATTACAATTCCAGGAAATGTCACGTGCTAACATACTTTCCAAAGTGGACATACATATTTTAAGAAAATATATTAAATATATTAAGAAAAATCATGCCATACCTCATTCTCTTTTTTAGCAGCCAGAAAATTGAGTGTAAATAGCCATGAAATAGGAAACTTTTATCTAAAATGCATTTTAAACTAGTATTTAAGTATCTGAAGTTTATACTTTGTTTCTTAGGTTTCCAGCTTGTTTAATTGAGGTTATTGGAGTTAGTTCAAATTGATTATTTGGCTTCATAATTACAATCTTTTCTTTTTAAATGTTATTAGGACATTTTATTCACTATAGTCTAAATATTTATGTAAAAGTTCTTATTCTAGGTCTTTCTATCCAGTTTGTATTCTGGGCATTATACTGTTTTACTAATATAGATTGATGTTCTGTTTTTCTGGGGCATTTAAAGGAGAATGATGCAGTTTTAAAAATATAAAATAAATAAATTTGTTCAATTTCAATGTTTCATTCTTTCTAGGCAGCATCCAAATTTTCTCAGTTCTTTCTCCTTCAGTGCCACAAAATACCATCTACATGAATTTCGTTTTCTCTTTGTAGCTGTAATAGTATATCATCTCAGCTCTCTGAATAATTGTTTGCTTCTTACTATACCAGGAGGTGTTTTGTCATATAATTTTGATAGCAACTGAGTAAGTCAGTGTAGATTTTAGAGCTGAACAAATCCCTCAAGTTTTTATTCTAAAGTGAAAACCTTCCTGGAAAGTCATATCAATGTCGTGAGTATGATATGTTGATTTCATTTGGCAGAGTACTTAGGATTTTATTTTTAAAATTTGATATCACTTAAAGTTGATTTCATTTTTTTCTTTTACAGTAAATTTGTAACCCATCTAGATAAAAATTCTATCTTAGAATTATACTGTAAAATCCAAAAATTGTCCTTTACTAGTGATTTTAAATGTCCTTTTCAAAAGGATGATTTCAAATTTTTTACTCAGAAGATACTTTAGTCACTTTCCTTGAGAAATGTGAGTGTACATTCTTAAGGTTTTGTTAGCCAGATATATTTAAGAAAAAGAATTTAAGTATATATAGGAAAGCAATATTTCTTGGTGTTATAAGTAGGTTCAGAAATGTGCTTATGTGTGAAAGTTCTGAGTCTAAGCACTTGAAGAGGTCATTGATAGAATATTATGATGAAAAAGACCAACAGATGGCCAAGAAATTGACTGAAAAGATGTTCAACTTTAGTAATCAGTGAGTGCAAATTAAAACAATGAGATAACACTGTTCAACTACCACAGTATTAAAAATTAGAAAGTTTGATGATACCAACTTTAAGTGAGGGTTTAAAAAGTCACCTTTCATATCCTTCTTGGGGAAAGGTAAATTGATGCAGCTCTGTTATCTATTAAAAATATGCATACCCTATAATTTAGAAATTCCACCTCAGGAATTTCCTCTAGCTTAGAGAAACACTTGGATATATGCACACAGGCACATATATATGGTTGTTCATTGCAGCATTGTTTATAGCATTGAAAATCTGGACAGTCTAAATGTTCAACAATGCAGAACAGCTAACTTACTGTACAGCAGCTTCCGAAGAACATTGAAGTTCTGAAAAGAAGTGATCCTTAATCTTCAGTATTCCATACCAGAGTTCATTACCTAATTTCAGCTTTTGGGTTTTTAGGAGGTCTTCCAAAGAACAAAAAGAAAATTTACTTTAAAAAAGAATAAATAAAACTTACTGTCTTGCATTTACCATATGAGTCCGATTGACCCTTTAAAAATCTAAGATGCATTTGGGAATCTTTAATGGTTTTTCTTGCTTAAAGCTGAATCACCTCGGAAGTATTTCATCATTGTTTATCAATTATTCTCACTATGCTATAAAAGTCTAAAATAAGAAGAAAGCTGGAGAATGATGATATAAAAGTGAGATAGAAATCACATTACATCATTCTTGTTTTCTCATTATATTGCCAAAAGAGTTACATTATCTTTCAAGAAGGTATAAAAGAAGACTGGAGATGCCACTGTTGTAGTCTGCTTCTTTCAATGAACACAGTTGGGAATTCAGAATTATTAAATTTTCACCCATAATAGCAAAGAAAAAAAAAATTGGCAGTAGACATTTCATAGTTACTAATCAAAAGATGAACAGATGAATATGAAATGAAAGGTAGCAGTCCTCTAGACACTAATGATGATGAAATGTCTTATGTAAACAAAATCTCAAATTATGAATGTTTATGTAATAATATCATAGATACATTGTCTCAAATTCAAGAATTAGTATGAGCAGTTTATTTATAAGGGCTTAATGAAATGTAGTATTCTTATCTAGTTTGTTATTCTGTAGGAAGCACACACCATGTACTATTTAGTGATAAGAATTGAGAGCATCCTGTTTTGCTAAAAGGATGTGTGGCAATATTTTATGACATTTGTGCATTAAAATTTACTTGATACTCTGTTGGTGAACAGGTGCTGAAGGTAGGAGAGTGAAAGAAAATAGATGATATAGAATAAAAATACTCGATTGATTATTCTCATTGTATTTATAAACATAAGCGAAAATGTTTTGCAGTTGTGAAGCAAAGAAGATGACTGTCTTCTCTTTAACAAACTTAAGAGCTTTCAAAGATTTCAAAAAATTATTCAAATATTGTGTTTTTGTTGCAGTGGTAAAGAACCAGAAATAATAAGATAGAACCTATTAAAAATGTATCACAATCTAGAATTAGTATTTATAAATGAATATGGCCCGGATGCTTGCCTGACAGCTGATAAGCAGTTGCTTACATTCAGAGTGTTGCACATTTATGCCTTCAAAACCAGGAAGATAGGGAATAAAAATTTGAGATTTGCTATGTTTGAATTCTCACTAAAATTTGTCATGAAGGTTTTTTCCACTATTCTTTTATTCTCAGTTCTGCAAATTATTTGTAAAATGACTTAGAAATGTTAAAAGAGTAAGTAAAAGCTCATTGGACCCATATAGTAAATGGTGAAATCTATGTTTTATGTGTACTGAGAATTAACGGGAAATACAAAATAGTTGTGGAATGATATATTACAGTATGATTCTGGGTTGTGTGTGTGTGTGTGTGTGTTTTAAAGAAATCACAAAGCAGTACAATGAATGTATATAAACTTAAATGCATGGAAGTTTGGGAAGGGTAGAGACTAAACTGCTCTCAGTGGTAACCTCTGGGGAGGAGACTTTGAGTAGGACAGTGCTCACAAGAGCTTGAGTAAATAAAGCTGTAGATAAAAACAGAAATATAAAAGTTTAAGAAACAAAACCAACAAGGCAAACAAGTGTTTCTTATGTCAAAAAAAGTGAAAGACACTAAAGACAATAGAAAGATGTTTTAATTAAACAGAAATATGAAAATTTTAGGTCATTCTGTCCCCAGGTCCAACATATAATATATTTTAATGTAATAATTAAATCTAGAAATGATTTTACATGATTTTCTTTATTTTGCTTATTTCTGGAAATGATTTAAGTAGCAACGATCTGAATCATAATTTTTATTAATGAAAATATCTTAGAGAATAGTAAAAAAATAAAAAATAAAATGGATCTTGTAAATTAGGTCTCAGTTATAGAGCCATCGTAAGACTTGGCTAAAGTTTGTGCTTCAGAGCACTATAATTGTAATAATTTTCTTCCCAATTCTGATTTATGTTTGAAATTTAACTTTTATACTCCAAGCCTTGTTCTGAACATATGTTCTTAAAGTCCGTGCTTAAGGTTTTGTTTTGTCTCTGACAGACTGGCCGTAAAATTTTGTCATGCTATTTTAGATTTTTGTAAAGGCTAATTTCTTGCCTTGTAAATTGAAGCATGCATCTCTTTGCAGACCGACTCTACAAGAGGAAAGAAAAATCATAATAAAAAATGGCAGACACCCTGTGATTGACATATTGCTGGGAGAACAGGACCAGTATGTTCCCAATAGTACAAATTTGTCAGTAAGTATCACATTATGGCAAAAAATAAGTGAAAGATAGTAACTGATCCAAGACTTTTAAATGTCAAATGATATTTTAAAAATTTACCTAAATTTTAACTTTGGATTTAAATTGACTGATCCTTGACTATAGTTTTCTATTCACCACCAAATATCTAATTGGTGCTATTTCCAATGAAAGATATCCATAGAGGGAAAGATTTAGCAACTAAAGGATTAGTCCTAATTAGTTATACTTGGTACACAGGGAAAATATTTTATATTTATAAATGGCCACATATGCTAATGGGGTGGAATTATACCATGGTTTTGCAAATTCCTGTTAGTGTATAGTATATGCTTTGTTTTGTGTTTTACTGTTTTCAGATATTTTGTGAAAGAATCACAGATGCTTCAGTCGATTTCAATGATAAGAATTTTTGTTATATGGACTAGAGTTCTCTTACAGAACATTAATGATTTTAAGTATTTATATATTTAACACATCCTTACTGAGTGCCTATTTAGCCCCAGGTAGTGAAGCAAAGTATTAGGACAGAGTGGTAAGCAAAACAGAGATATTCCATGTCCTTAGAGAGCTTGTGGTCTAGCAGACAAGATTATTACCATATAGCTTGGGAAGTGCGAATGGTGCAGAAAACCAGGTGTCATGGAGCATGTAGCAAGTCAGCCAAACCCAGTATAGGGGGAGCTTTTGGGAAGGTTTCCCAGGTTGAGATATTGACTAAAGAGAGTGAGTCCGTGCAGACCGTGTTCCAGGTTGAGGAACCAGCATGGCAGAGCCTGGGAGTGAAGCAGAGCAGGGTGGCTCCAGGGAACTGGAAGATGTTGAGTGAGGTTGGGGCATTGAGTGTAAAAGAAAGAAGTGTTCAGAAATAAGGAAGAGGCCAGTTTGTTTAAAGCCATATTAAGGAATTTAGATTTTTTTTTTCTTATAGGTTGAGAATAGTAGCAAGAGAAATGATTGAAGCTTTACGAAAAAGTGAACTTGGAGGGAGGTTGTGTGTGTATGTGTAGACAGTTACACTGTCAGAGATAAATAGAACCATACACTAGTTAAAGTGCTAAGGGTATTTTATTCAGTAATATTACTGCAAGGGAAGAGAGTCCAGCTTGAACTCAGCTTCAGTTTGTACAGGGGTGACTGGGTGTTTTAAAGGGAGAATGAGGGAATAAGGAGGAGGAATGGGTGTGGGGGTGTCTTGAGCAGATTCAGAGAAAAGGAAACAGGAAAAATGAGAAAGAAGATTGTTTAGTGTGAAACCCCTCTGGGTTTACTAACTGGCAAGTGATGCTAAGACCCTCCCACAGGGCCTGAGAAGAATTGTAAGAGTTATCTCCATGAATGTTTGCATTTCAAAGAGAGGCTCTCAAGCTCTTGAGAACACGGTTCTAGGTGGCAGAAGATTTACATCTCAGAGGGGCAGAGGAGGGATTTATAATCGCAAGCTTTCTGACATAACTGTTCTAAGAGGTTCAAGGTCTATCTGCTTATCGCCAGGGTTTGGCTAGAACAAATATAAATTCTCTCCTGGCAGTGTTGTGGTTTCTCAGGCAGGCACTTTAAAGGGAACTGAGGTCATCCCAAGAATGCAGCCTTGAGCTGTTAGAAACTGTGCTAGCATTTGTCCTGATCTCTTAGTGGGGAGGATAAGTGAGATCATTTGTGCTGAGAGGGTGCAGGGTTTATAGGCTAAAGTTGAGGCCTGGTCAAGGCTAAAGTTGAGGCCGGCTCAGAGGAGTCTGACTAGAATCTGGTTAAGGAGAGAGTCTTTGTCAACATAGAGTACCCTAATCTGGAAGTGAGATGGAAGAATTAGTATGTAGAGAGTAGTTAAGTGAGAGAGGGTGTGACAGAGAATGAAATGCTGGACTTCAGGATTTCAGAGGTAGTGTGGTTCTGGGAGGTAACAAGATCCTAGGTATGGCCATGGAAGGCGAGTAGCAGAAGTGGGGAAAGTCTTTGGAGATGAGGAGATCAAGGAGCAGAGTTGAAGAAAAAGTCATCTGTGTGTGTTGAAATCATCTAAAACAAGAGGATTTGTTGTGGAAGGTGTCAGAGATTCCAAGGGATGGAGACTGGTTGGTGGCCTGGAGGTTTGTAGATACCTGTGGTAATGACAAGCAGAGATGGTAAAGCCCTAAAGAAGCAGATACGGGAGACTCTCTGAACCCTGAGGTACAGGTGGCAGGGTGTGGCAACAAGCTCAGCCTCGAAATGAGAAGACTGCAGAGGAGTAACAGCCAGCTTTCAGTTTAAGTCAGCATATGAAGGAAATGTTAAGCAAAGAGGTTAGAAACATAGAAGTATTGGGGAATTTTTCAGAGTACAGTGAGAAAATTGAAATGTAGAGGAGCAGTTGGAAATTAGGTCAGAGAAAGGAAGTCCAGAATAGCAAGGGAGTTGGGAATATTCCATCTTGGGCTGTGAGCAAGGATGGTAATGATGTGTGCCTGGTGAATTTGGTTGCCACAAGGGTGGTAAGTGAAAGGAAATGCTTTGAATTACATCTAGTTTAATGATACATTTTTATATCATACAAAGATTTAACAGTAGCATGTAACCAGATCCCCAGTGTCTGTAAATGTGTTTCTTCTCACTTGGAAGTTTGTAAGTTAACTTATCAAACCAAGTTAATAAGTACTGATGTATTTATTAACTTTTGAAAGTCTACATGAACATAAGAATTTCTTTTTCAGTTTCCATCATGCCAGTAGGGTGTAGCTTTTCTTGAGAAACACTGCTGTACCATTTGGTACCTTGATTTACTTATAAATCACTTGAAACATCGTTTACTGTTACTGTTCCCATCCTCCCAAGTACCAGCCAACTTGGTCTCAAGTGTGTTATCCTTGACATTGAATTTTTGTTTCTTTTTTCTTTTCTTCTTCATTCTTTTCTCTTTCCCTCTTTCTTTTAAATAATGTATTATACTATTTAATAAAAGAAAATTTGAGAAACTAAAATAGCCTAATTACAGGAATGTTTTAGAGAAACATTGAATTCTTTTATTTAAATTTTTATGAAATAAATGGAGCGATTTATTCTAGCAGGCACCTCAGAATATTCCAGAATATTCATTTCTTTTACATATCCTTTTTCTAACTTGAGTAGGAGTTGATATAGAACTGTTGCTATGGTGAAGTGCATTCTTTTTTGCAGGGTATAAATTTCTATATAGGGATAGTGTTGAAAAAGAACTTACTATGTTAAAACTCAATTTAAAATAATTTATAGGTGTTAATTATAAAATATATTCTGAAAATAATTTCCTGAAAGTCAAATGGTATTATTGCTTTTGATAGTCATGTAGTTTTAAGAAATGGTCTTTTGTTCATGTAATTATACTTTTCTGGATTCTGTATTATATAAACTCATCATGGTGCTTCTAAACAAGCCAACTTACTGCCCACTTTTCTTCTCCAAGTTTTAAATACTCATATTTTTCACATTTCACAGTCTTGCATTGATTTATGAATTTTTTGTTAGCATTGTTTTATTAATACTTTATTCTTATAAATTTGACATGGTTGCTTTGTGTCAATGTTGTACTTGATGCCAGGCTTACAAAGAAAAAAGAGACTAATACCTCTCTAATCTGGTGGGAGATGTATCCAATTAAATTAACATCAAAATAGAGTATTTATAAAGGCAATGAGGGAACTAACAGATTATTCAATAGAAAAATTGGCACCAGAATTGAACAGTACAGGATACCCAATGGTCAGTAAACAAACTTTTTTTTCTTTTTCTTTTTTTACCTGCTGTATTAAGTTTTCTCACCAAAATGTAGCAAAGAATCAAATAGAAAAGAACTGTGCCTTTGAGGTGTTTGTGGGACATTTGGTAGAGATCTTAATGTGAAGATGGTGTAAAAGCCAGGAGGGAAGGCTGAGCTGGAGTTAGGGATTTAAGAATGAGCACGATGCATGTGCAGGGAATTTAGATTCTAAGCCTGTCACTCAGGGAGATTGTACAAAAAAACGGAAAGAAGGCTGAGGAAAAAGCGCTCTCAGGCACTGACACTGAAGAAGTCATTTCACTGGAAGCAGTTTTAAATGACGAGAATTTCTCAAGCATCTGCTAAACGTATCCCTACCTAATTTTTAGCATTTGGTTATTGTTTAATCTGAACATCAAAAAAAATATATAAAAATTTTAAAAACAAGATTCTATTGGTTATTCCTTTTTATCCTTTAAGACCTCCCTCCGCCTCATCTTCCAGGAACCCTTGTTTCACTTCTCTGAGCATAATTGAAAGGAATCCACTTTTAAACCCTCTTTTTTTGGTTCCCTCCCTGACTCGTTACATAATCTGAGTATTTGTAGACTTAGCAGCCACTGGATCTGCCCACCTCTGGTTTATTCTCCTCTCTGCCGCCACAGGGCTTTTCCTAACCTGTCATATCTCTCTCTCATTTGAATTAATTCTGAAAATTCCAGCCGTCTAGTTCCCAAGTTACTGTGCCTCTGGGACTTGGCAGATGGTCCTCCCTCTGCCTAGAATGTCATCTTCCCCCGCACCATCCACGCCCACCTCCCACACACCCATGCCCCCCCCCCACACACACTCCCCATCCAGCTCCTGTTTGTTCTTTCAGTCTGGTCTTGGTGTCATGTCTTGCACTGAGCCTTCGCTTCTAAAGCTGGGATGAGTGCCCCTGTCACTTACCCACTATACTCTGTGTTTCTCCCCAGTTATTATTCATCCCACTAAATTGAAATTGCCCTTTTCTGATTTGTGGTTCCCACTGGACTATAAGCATGAAGAGAACCAGAAATCTGCATCTCTGGTTTAGTTGTAACCTTCCTGTCAATCACAGTTCTCTGGCACATAGCAAGCATCCTATTAGATTTGTTAAATAAATAAGGATTAGCTTGAAGTTTTGAGCAGTCTCCAAGTCTCACTCCAAAGTTTTGCTTTATTCTCCTTCACAAAATGTTATTTTCCAGGATATCATATGAAGCTTTCCCAATTTACACAGTAATGATCATGTAGA